TGAAAGACCCGTCAAAATGAGCCGTCATACATAGCATTACCTTCGGTTTGACGGGGTTTATACGAGAAAACGTGTTTTATTTCAATTGTTAATTACTCAAAAAGCCAATTTTTTTAATCTGAAAATTTCACCAAAAATTGTCAATAAAATAACAAAAATTTTGGTGCCAATTAGAGTTTGTCTCTTACCGTAGTTCGACGGTTATTAATGTTTTCAGCGAGACAAGTATTGAAAATGACCGAAAATCGCTATTATTCATGCAATTATTCCGTAAATAAGTGAATATTTAATTAAATATTAACAAATAGTGAAGGTTGGACTCATTATATCCTTTATTATTCATCTTCAGTATGATTTTTTGAGTGAAAAATTATTCTTTCTCTAATTATACAACGGAAATACACTTGTCAAAGTTTTATTTGTTAATAATCGAAAAGCGTACAATAAATCGCATTTTGAACTCGTTTAAGTATAGTGTATATGCTGGATCTGGAAAAACCAGTTTTCAAAACCTTTTCAAACCAGTTACTTCATACATATCACAGTTTCAAAAGATGCAGTTGCACTTCTTTGGGTATTGTAGGATACCTAAACGAAGTTGACGGACCAGAGGGTTCCATCAAACTGGCGCTAAATCCATTAGCAGCATAATTCTTATTCCCAATGAAAGCAATCCACCATTTCTCTTGATGGATAGTGATAACTTAAGATTTAACTGACTCGAGTGATAAGCAATCATCAACTAATTTGGAAGTTTCGTGGTCATTTGACAATGAAAACGTTCTGATTATTCGCAATATCTGTGTCCAGATAAAAAAACGGTGAATGATAAGAACGAGTAGTGAACGCCACAATTCAGTATAATGAAGATGCATAAGAATCCTACATTATCTGCCGACATTGTTCAACGATAAATGTCGATCAAAGTGGAGAGTAATTGTTATTTATTTGCTAAACATCGGAGTTAGACGAGTATGGATGACACTTGAGTTATATTAAAATTCCCAATGCTATTAGACCCTTCAATTTGCTGATATTTAATGAAATATAGACTCATTTGGGGGACAATTGCATGAATAACAGCTATTTTCGGTTATTTTCAATACTTGCCTCACAGAAGAAACTAATAACCGCCGAACTACGGCGAAAGACAAACTCTAATTGGCGTCAAAATTCTCTTCATTTTATTGACAATTTTTGGTGAAAATTGCACATTTTTTAAAAATGAGCTTTTTGAGCGTCAAATCGAAGATAATGCTAGGTATGACGGCTCATTTTGAAGGGTTTGTTATGCTCTTTGAGTGTACCAAAACGCGATGTGATAGCTTGAAACCCCACTGAGATATTGAGGCCAATTTGAAGAAAAAATCATTGACAAAAACTAGAAATTTTTAAGAAATCATAACTCCCTCAATTATTAATATTTTTAAATATTTTTTTCAAAATTTTTGTCTAATCGCCATTTTTTTAGAACACAATTGAGACAAAAATCCCCAGCGTCGAGTTTTTATCCTGTTGATTTGATGTGGATCTGCTCATATATGGACCCGCAAGTCCTATGACGTTGTATACATCAAGACGCTATTGCTATCCGTATCGCGTCTCGGCTATATCACTATTGTAAAAATGGAAGTTGCATGCATAATTATGTGTAGTTATATATAATTTTCAGGAGAGCGACCCTAAATTCGATTTAGGCAAAAGAATGAGGAACTTTCAGGTTTTACTGAAAATTCAATGGACTCCGCATTTTTCAGCAGCAAGGAGACGAGAACTCCTCAACTTACTCGAATTGTCAATAAAATCATGAACATTTCGTATCTAATAACGCTGAAATTTCTACTAATTGATTATTCAAGAATACTTTTTTCTGAATTCTTGCCGTTTTTATCAATGAGTATGCAATGATTAAACTAAGATTTAAGTTCAATTGATTTTTTCATCAAATTGTGAATTTTCCATGATGAAATTCCTTTAAGTTTCCGTTGAACTGGCTATTGATGAAAATTTTCAAAAAGTATAATGGAAATTTCAGACAGAAATCTTTACCAGTACCTGAGACGTGGATAGCGTGAATTAGAGCAATAAGTATCTTCAATTTTAAATCGATTGACCTGGAACTCAATAATCATAGCACTACTCTGAATTCTTACGAGATAATTTTAGGTTTTTCTCATTGGATAACAGAATGAAATAACTGGTTTCCACTAAAGGATAGTAATTTTTCCCCCAGTTAGAATGATTTGGAGATTGTTCTTCAGTTAATTTGGTAATTGGAAAACTATCGTTTCTGGAATTTGGTATTCGCCTTGAATGGAGAGACATTTTATTAAATTGAATAAGATTTTCTTTTACCTAATTTTGTCAGATTTTGACAAAACATAGACTTAGTTGAATGTTATCAGCATCATTATTCTCATCATCTCTTTTCTCCTATACAACCGGATTGTCTCTTTTACAGTTCTATCTCTCCCCTCAGCCCTTCGATAAAATGTTAATAGAAATATTTTCTTTACACATACTTGAATGATTTTGAAATATCACATTTGAGGAAACGATCAGAAAGCTCACTTTCAGGGAAATGCATGAAAAATTGAAAATTGTCAACAATTATCATAGAAATCAAATCCAACAATATAGCTATCGTAATCATCTTTTCACTTCGACTTAATGGCATTAATGCAAACATTTTAAACTAGTATTGAATTAATTTGAAGCATGATATTCCAAGATATTCCCGGAATTCCATTTTCAAAAAATAATTTTTTTTTTTAATTTGGAATAAATCAAAATAACTATTATTGTTATGACCTTCATTTCTTAAGCCATCATTCAATCAATTTAGAACATTTTTCTTAGTTATCGTGGGACAATCGATTTTCGAAAAAATTCAAAAATTAAAACAACTTATCAATGAATTAAATTGCAATTAATGGCCATCGATAGGGCTCAACAATGCCTACATTTTCAAAAAAGAGATTTAATTCCATCCATTCATTAGCGAACAATTGAAGACAAACTTTACCACACGCATACATACATACATACACACATACGTACGGACACAGTCTAAAAATTACATTTTCGAACTTTTTGGATCATGATGGGTCGATATAACACAAAAAATCCAAAACTTAAATTTGAACAATTACAATGCTTCCATTCGGAAGCAATATTGTATCATTATTTTTTGGGGGCCAAATGATACTGCAAGTGTTCAAGGATCCTTAATTAGCTTAGTAAAATACCATTATTCAATGAAATTACATATGTACTCTACGGACACTCCAACATGAATTGTCCAATATCCACAACTCAAACGAAACATTTCTACCTCTGTCATCCCATCCGGAAGCCGATTATAACACAAATATACAGAGTTCAACCGTTTAATCGCGGCAGTACACGTCATTGAGGATGATTCGTGGCTCTCTCTGACTTTCCTTGAGCTCCAAACAAATGCGCTCAGGGCACGGGCCTATTCTCCCCATTTTTTCTCGTTCATAGAGAGCAGAATGGAAAGAAATTGAGAGAACCTCGTAGTAGGGCACAAATGCCCATCGTGTTATCCCAATGAGAGAATGAAAAATACAGACATAGCGTGGCCTACCACTTGGCTGGATTAGACCTCTCGGTTTCTTGCCAGCACCATTGATGTCGCTCAATGGATTTTCGGTATAAATGTCCATTCAATCTCCCTCCAGTATGTTTTGACGCTTCATCCACCATTTCTCACGTGTAACCCCTTCCATTTTTTTGTGTTTTCATTTCGAGTTTTGAAGACGCTCCTTCGGATTGTTCGGAGAAGACGAATGATCCATATTTTGAGTGGCCTCTGGTAGTTCAGCGAACAAAGGGGATATGTACTCAGATGTTTTAGGGATTTCCAGAGCTTTAAAAATTTGAAATCTCTTGTGTAGAAAATACTCACAGGGAGCACCATTTTTTTTTAATATACTTTTTTGTCTGTATTTTTGATTATCATACAGATACACTTAATGACAAATAGCGAAATAGTTTCAAGAGGATATGGAGTTGAAAATCAGGAATATAATGGTACAAAAATTATTGAATTTCGCTAATAGACTTTCAAATTGTGAACGTTAGAACTTTTTAATACTTCCAATGATTTCATTAAGGTACTTCCGCAGTAAGCATACTTGGTGAAAATTTCGAAATGCTATAAAGACGCAATATTTGGATCATATATTGTTGACCACATTAAAAAGATATTCCCAAAATTTCAAGTCCCTGGTCCACTCCATTTTTTAGATATGCATCGCCAAACATTCAATTTTTGTGTTTTTTCCATTTTTGACGATGTATATCTTGAAAATGGGGTGGACAAGGTACTTGAAATTTTGGGAAGTTTTTCAATGTGCTCAACAACATATGATCTAAATATTGCGTCTTTATACCATTTCGAAATTTTCACCAAGTATACTTACTGCGGAAGTTCCTTAAATCACGAAATCGACGTATCGCGTTAAATCGCGATGTTCAAGTTTTTGTGACTAGTACAAACTGAGTTGAAATTAAAGTTTTTTTCAATTCCATTGGTAGTAAGCTTGCGAATGAATTTGTAGTAATGTCCTGTCCTTATGCAACCATTACTACATGCTACAGGGTGTTTACAGGAAGATATTCAATCTTTTAATGAAACAGATTTATACAAAAGATTAAATATCGCGGAAACTGCTCGGCCAGTTGAGCCCATCCAGAATACCAACCTTCAATATTGTAAGAGCTATAGTGATACCAAATTTCCACTTGCTATCCTCTTTTTTTTTCTCAAGTTATCGTGCGTACAAGATTTTTCATGAACAATGGAACAACAGCAATATCTCCAAACTGTATAGGCATTCGTGAAGTGCTGCTTTACGGCCGGAATGACAAAAACTAACATACATCAGCCATGCATGAATAATTATTAATAAGAATAAATTCATCAACAATATATAAAGTATTAATTTCTCATTTTCTTATTTGTTCCAGCAAATTATAACATTCAAATGGCTGCCTATATGCAGTCGATATCCCAACCTCCATCTTCAGGTAGGTTTTATCCACTTGTTCACCTTAAACCTAACGTTCAATCCAAAATTACTTTAAATCTTCATTTCATTATTAGTGAATAATACTGCGAGCGACATAGCGAAGGCTTCAGACGAGAAAGGTGATGCCGATAAAAAAGACAAGGCCAGCCCAAAACCAGCCTCACCTCCCCAACTTCCAAAGAAAATTCCCAACATTTATTATGGCTCCAGAACACATCGACAGATATCACAAGTCACTAAAGAGTTACGAAGGACCGCTTACAGAAACACAAAGATGACGATATTGAGTAGCAGAGACTTTACGTGTATCCAGCAATCGAATAGGAATAAGACAGAGATGTGTAACGAGCTTTTGGATCCTTTGAAGGTATTTAGTTGATTTAGGTGTATTGTCTGGTGTGATTTTACTCTCATAATTCTTGATCTATTCCAATCCATTTTTCTTATAACTTCACTCAATTAACTCTGTATCACTTGCAAAACGAAAAAAGACCAAAAACAAAATAAGATTCTTTTTTCTGACAAAGACCAGGAGTGAGGTAAATTAAGCAGAGCTCTATTGTAAAAACTGTTGGAAACTGAATTCCCAAAATTAATTCCAACAGGACTTCCGAAAATTTTCGCCAGCAGGCATTTTGGAAATAATATTGAACTTTGAGCTTTTACCAAATCTCCGTTTTGTTGAAGAAGAAGAATGCCGTAAAATATTAGAAATTGTAGAGATGACTACGAAATCAAATTAAAAATTACAGTTCTCCAGTTTACCAGTTAATTCGAAAATTAATTCGAAAAAAGTACAATTAAGATCTTTTTCTACTCAATCGGCTCAGTTTTAACTCTTAGATTAGTAGTAAAGTTAAGTGAGCTTTAGCTAGATTAATTTTACGAGATAATTTCATGGACTGGATGCGATTTTATATCACTACCTGCGATAAGTCGAGTTTATCGCACGCTGTACAGAGTGATATGATAGTATATTGTGTTACTAGTGCGTACAGTTCTACTTTTTCACTCGCACGTGTAACACATCCTATTTTTTGTGGTACCTGCCGAGTTCACTGTTCGGAACGATAGTGGGGGTAAGTGGTTGTTTTTGTGCACGAGTGCGTAAAGTTCGAGAGCGTGCGTAAATCAACCCCTTTACACACACTAAACTGTTTCGAAAAGTGCATTTTTCAGGCAGATATCACAAAAAAAAGTATATGTAGACCATTCGGGCATAAATTTGAATGAGTATTCTTCTAGTGTTTTAATCGATGTAATATTTTGAAAATAACGTGTTGGACCCTAGTATTCATCATTGGCATCCAAAATTAACTAGAATCAGATGTAATTCAAGTGAATCAAGGTTACACCAAGAGGAAAACTTTAGAATAATTCTAGTGCAATCACGGCAAACAGCATAAGGCACAAGTTGACGGTCAGGGAAAATTTACAATTTCCGTTATTATATTAGTACGTTATATATGTTTTTCTCGTAGTTATCGGAAATTTCCCCTGAAAACACCAGAAACTGCCAGAAATTTTACTTGAAAGCACTAAAATTTTTCTAATGAATTTCTCTCCGTGTTACTTTAATGGAAGGCTTATTCAGATATTTCCTGATAATAAAAAACACAAATTTGCAAGCCATTAGAATTTGAAGGAAAAGCCCCTTTTATTTTATACGCAATGGAATTTTCTAATCAAAGTATTCACAACACTGATAGAATAATTTAGTGGCTATTAACACCATTCCTTGATAGTTAATGAATAGCATTAATGGTTAAGAAGTCTCGTGAACAGTGAATCCACGAAGAGAAAAGCGGAATAAAAATTGCCTAGAAAATCGTTGCAAATTTTACTGCATGAAAGGTAATGGTAGATCGAAATTTGTGAATTGGTAAACTAGAATAAGAGCATTTTTTCAAAAATGCGTTTTTTTTTGTTAAATTCCTTTCCAACAATCTGTGCAAACGATTTGGCAAATAATTTTTTTTGCCGAAAAAATGCACTTATCCTAGTTTACCAATTCACCACAGGAATGTAATTCAATGAAAAAATACCTGTTTGTGGAGGATATTTTATGATTGATTCGGCAAAAAAAACATCTATGGATGCAACAATTATCCTCCTGTACAGTAAAATTTCCCACACCGGTAAGGTATTTTTTGTCTTGCATGCATCTGAAGGTCATGGGAACTAATACAACTGAAATTTTACCGAACGTGTCTGAGACAGACGTAAGTTTGAAGATACGCCCCTTTTTCAGAATATTGCCCATTACTCCTATTTGATGGATGTATTTTTGACTGACGAAAGCAGATTACTAAACTTTCCTATTATGAATTCTATTTTGTAGAAAACTCGCTGTGCTTATTACAACGATTCCAACAAACAAGAGATATCGCATTATGATGTTCTCGAACAAATGAACTTCCCAATGCCCTTTGACATCGAAGACATCGTAAACTTAGGTAATGAGCGTGGATGCTGTCCGTACTTTGCTGCGAGAAACCTCATGGCAGAAGCAGACCTCATTCTCTGTCCATACAACTATTTGATTGATCCTGCTATCCGCAAAGCTGTAAGTTTTTTTCAGTAGTAATATCTCGAGTACTTCGGAATTAGGGAGGGCTACAGACCGAGCCCAAAAGCGAGGTCTGTACTCACATTCGTTGAAAACGAAATTTATGCCCGAGTGGTCTATACTATTTTATATTACATCGTGCTTTAAACTTGACTTATCGTACGGTGTGACATAAAAAATGATATTCTTTATGCGAGCTATAGAAAAATTCAGAAATAAATCAAGAGATACTTTTTCAAGTCCATCAACCGTGTACAAAATCCCCCTTTTTTTTTAGAAAAACATGTTTATTCAGCCAAATGTTTTTACATATGTTAATTACATTGATGATCTTAATGTCTACGAAGAAATATGAGAAAACGTAGTTAAAGTAACTTTAAGGAGATAACTGGAGAATTTATTCAAACGAGAATTTATTTAACTGGAGAATCATTTTTATTGTATAGAATATGAATCTTGTCTTTTGAGGTAAATTGTGTCTGTGACATTTATTTTTGTTTGATAGAGACCAGAAATTGACTAATAAAACTGGTCAAATGGTTGTACAAAATCCCCGTTCATATTCGGAAGCGTTAGAGTCAGAGTCTGATCGCTTCGAAATACAATATCTCATATGGGTGTTTTGACCAATTATTGGTATGGTTTCGAACCTTCCAAAATTTAATTTTGTTGAGATTTCTTGTATGGCTTTCTTATCATATAAAAGGCCGCAAAATTTTTTTCAAATTTTATTACGCCCACAACGTTAATTTTTAAATTTTGTGAGTTTTCGACAAAATTTTGCGTTTCAGGACAGGTCAATTTTTTTCAAGTTTTGAAGATGTGTTTCCAACGATAATTTTCCGTTCTTTCGATTGAGCATGATGCCAATTAGCTCATATCATCGGAAATGGTTTAAAATCATCCAAAATCTAGGAAATTGTGCATGGTACGTCCTTCCCCCACCTCGATTGAAGATTTTTTTCTTCCCTTATCCAAAGTGACTATGCTTAAGAAACATATTGAAAAATTAGAGTGGGACTTGAATCCGTTCTATCGAAAAATAATTTGTTTCAAATTTCATTTAAAAAAATGTTTCCCAATTTCCCATTTTTCAATTTTTTCATTCTAAAATTCATTATTTATGATCCATAAATGGTCGAAAAATGATGAATTTTGAAATCAAGAAATCAAAAAATGAAAAATTGAGAAAAATTTAAAAAAACGAAATTTGAAAAAAAAATTTTTTGGACAGAACGAATCCAAGTCTCAATCTAATTTACTAATATGTTTCGCAAAAATAGTCACGATGGGTAAAGAAAAGCCTTTCCAATTATATGAGCTAATTGGCACTATGCTCAATAGAAAGATCGGAAAATTTCCATCGGAAATACTTACTGAAAACTCAAAAAAAATTGACCTGTCGTGAAACGCAAAATATTGTCAAAAACGCACGAAACTCAAAAACTAACGTTGTGGGCGTAATAAAATTTTAAAACCAATTTTTAGGGCTTTTGAATGATAAGAAAGCCATATAAGAAGCCTCGACAAAATTAAATTTTTAAAGGTACAAAACCATATCAATAATTGGCGAAAACACCCATACATACGGGCACATTACGAAACTTCGAATTTCCAATGTTTTGGATCATTCCGAGTAATTCTAAAAACACACCTTGAAATAAAAAATTCACACGCATATAATGATGCATGTCTTCCAGATGCAAATAAATGTGGAGGGCGATATCATAATCTTGGACGAGGCTCACAACATCGAGGACATCTGCCGAGACTCGGCTAGTTCCTCTTTTACAATACAAGAGCTCCAGGCAGTGATGGAGGACTGCCAGGAGTTCCACAAACACTTCGACAGTCTCGCGAGCAGAGAGCCTGAGTTTGTAGAAGTTTGCTACTATATCTGCGCAAAGTTGAAAAAACTCATCGAAACCATGCCGGACCTGAAGAGACGGGACCAAAATTCCAACAGCCCCCTCTACAGCACCGTCTGGACTGGCACAGACTTTCAGGAAGTTCTTCACTTATTCGAAATCTCCCCCAAAATGACGCTAAGATTTCTGAGTGCAATCAACCAAGCGGTAGAGCACCAGAGCAAAGTACGCGAAGAACTGGCAGCAGGGGCAACATTTGGTATTACTCTCTCTATGGCAACGATAAGGATCCTCGAGAAGTATAAATTTTCTCTAGAAATGCTTCGATCCAAAGAGTACTGCAACGATTTCCGGGTCTTCGTGAAGGAAGCCACAGAGTGGGTTCCCGAAAGGAAGAGAGAAGAGATGGCGTCATCTGGTGCTCATCCCGAGACAATCAGAACTCTTGAGTGCCTTTGCATGAATCCAGGGGTCATCTTCACCTCTCTCGCCAAATCTGCAAGGTCCATTATTCTAGCATCAGGCACTCTCTCCCCAATCGTCTCCTTCGCCAGCGAGCTTGGCACAACCTTCAAGCATGTTCTCCAGAATAAGCATGTGATCCCCAAGGACAATGTCCATATCAGGATTGTACCCAAGGGACCCCAGGGGGTCAATCTCAAAGCTGTTTATGCCAACACAAGCCAATGGAACTTCCAAGACGAACTTGGAAGGGTCATTCTTGAAGTTTGTGAGTCTGTACCATTCGGAGTTCTCTGCTTCGTTCCTTCTTACTCGCTCCTCAACACAGTTTCAAAACGAATGTATGACAATGGAATCATGGACAGAGTTATGAAGATCAAGGTTGTATTTACTGAGCCAAGGAGGAATGCAGAATTGGATGAGGTGATGAGGGATTTTAAAAATACAATTAAAGAACTTACGGAGAGTGGCAGGAAGAATGAATGTACTGGAGCTCTCCTTTTTGCAGTTTTTAGAGGAAAAGTCGCTGAGGGGATTGACTTCAGCGATAATGAGGCTAGAGCTGTGATTACCATCGGAATTCCATATGCTATTCGGACCGACCCTTCAGTCGAGCTGAAGATTAACTACAACGATCAGACTAAAGGGAAGCAATTGGTGAGGGGTGGGGAGTGGTATACAGTGCAAGCCTACAGGGCGCTCAATCAGGCATTGGGAAGGTGCATCAGGCATATTAATGACTGGGGGGCCATCTTGCTCGTGGACGAGCGTCTGATGAACTCTAGCAGTCAGGGGTATCTGCCAAAGTGGGTTCAAGCCATATGGAGAATGGGACCTAAACACGATATCCAGACAATGGGCTCTGAACTCAGGGCATTCGTTGAAGAACGCACTGAGGTCGAGGAGCTCAGAAAGATCGGAGGTGCGTAAGTGCCTACAATCTTAGAAAATCCAGCACTTTATTCAATGTTAATTTTTGTTCCGTGACGGATTCCAGTAACGCAAACATTAATTTAAACTAAATTATTTACAATTATTTAGTTTTAAATTATTTAAACTAAATTATTTACAAATGGGAAGACTCAAGAGGAGAAAACAGAAATCTACTTGTTTTTTTCATTAAGAATTTAGTGGAAAGTGAATATTGCGGGAAAATTCACGCATTATATTGTAACTACACAAAAATTCATGGGTTTACAGAGACATGCCGGGGAATATTTTCTGCGAGAAATTGAATTTCTCAGGAAAGCATTTGATGAATTTCTCCAAACCTCTTTCCATCGAGAATACTCATAGAATAATCAGCAAATTTGTTTTAGACTTCTCTTTGACATATTGTCCCCATACGTTATAGTTATAAAATGAATGGAGTATATCAAGATTTTTTTTTCATTCCATTGATCAGGTGCTGCGCAGGGTCCGCATAAACCTGACATTTTTCTTCGTATAATTACATTTATTTGCTTGTTCTTTTGTACAAAATGAGTGTCACACTGCCTTACATGTTTTTTCAAAAAATATTCATTTATAATATTTACTATGCATTGACTGTGTCCCGCTTTTCGATCATACGTAACTGTTTCTTTTTCATACGTTTTAGTTTTGTTGTATTCTTGATCTATGAATGAAAAAAATAATTTAGTAAAATACGGGTATGTTATTAGTATAGCATTGGATCGAAAGTTTATTATGATGACATTTTTTAATGTAACACAAATAAAAAAAACATTGTTTATGACTTACGACTTGAACGACTTCACTTTTTTTCCGATTCTCTTCTGCTCGTTTCAAGTTCTTGATTCTCCTCTGTGTTTTTGCCTCTTTTTCTGCTTTTTTCTGTTCAATTATCGCTCGTGATTGTTCTTTCACTCTCTTCAGATCGTCACGAAGCTTTTGTTTCTTTTCGTACGAGATGCGAAGTCCTCGTGTTTTGACGATTGAAGAAAATCTGAAAATTCGAATAGAAAAAAGTTTTTAATTCTTGGCAATTTAAAATTTTCAATTTCTTCAAATCTAAAAAAGCAATACTTAAAACAATATTTAAAAGAAATAGTGAATCATTTGATATTGTGTTAAGTGGAGGAGGAATCGAATCACTTGTTCTAAAATGCTCCAATTATTTTTAGGAGTTGAAAAAAGTGATGTGACCTCCCTTGAACTATTTTTTAGGCAAGAGCGAGGTGAAATGGAGGCTTTAATCGTCAATATATCGGGATCGCCAGAATGAAATTACATAATAAGAATCCGATAAAATTTTTAGTCTCCAATTCAAAATTTCTCATTATATCAAAAGACAAGGATAGAAATCGAATTTAAAGGTACTCTTCTATTATTCGAAAAACATCGATTTTGATACTTTCCGGAAACATTGACAAATTAATTGTTTTAGTGCTTACGGTCCATTGTTTTTTGAATTTGTTCAATTTCTGCCCACTGAAATATTGATATCCCTCTAACACTTGAAAAAAAAAGTGATTCGAAGTTCCCACCAACTTAAAAAAAGAAAAAAATCCATTTTCTAGTCGATTATCCCCTTATGATTTTGTTTTTATTTCCTTTTCTTAATAATAATTGGAATTTGATCATTGAAATGAGGAGTACCGATATCCTTTTACCGTATGAAGGGACAAATAGATTTAAAAAATTTTCAGGAATACATGGAGAGATTTTTCTATTACCCGAATGAGTTTTCGAATAACTTTTGTTTTGTGTGTTTGTTTTGATCACAAAAAAAAATTTTAATGTATCTTTAACATAGTTCTTCTTCATTCAATATTGTAACTTGTAAATTGAGGAAAAAAAAATATGTATATAATATGAGTAAAAATGGATGAAATTAAATTATTCCAATTGTGGAGACGGAAATGGAAAGAAAATAAATTAAAATAATATAATATAAATTAATTAGTTGAATGATTATTTTTTAATTCTCAAGATTTTTTGCAGACATAAAATGTGGTTGAATTCGTCCACATCATATCATTCGGTTATAAAATATTAAAAATTTAAAGAGGCACATTTCACCGTGCTCTCCCTTAAGGTTTTCAAGAAATAAAAATTACCTCTGCCTCGGTTCCTTCCATACTCTTCCAGACTTTGGCTTCCCTTTAATCAATTTACCAACTGTTTTGCCTTTATTATCATCTTTTACGTGCCCTTGAGCTTGATCACTCACTTTTTCTATTTCTGTCTCAACCATTATATTTTTTTTATCCTTAATAAATCAAAAATTAGTAACATAAACAGGCTCTTCCCATGTCAACACAAAATTTAGGGTTAAGAACGTGTTCTCCTCTTATTATACGACGTGCTAACATAGAAGTAGCTTTGTTACTCCGACTGCAGATAGCGATAGTCTGTTTGTCCTCAGATTCTGTAAATTGAGTTCGTCTCTGACAGTAGTCGGTATATTAGAAAGTGATGATATTGATTGAAGTTTTTTATTCATTGCCCCTGAACCCCCTGATCAAAGAGGATAGACCTGAGTAGAGACCGGGATCGGGGGGTTTGACTGACCCCAAAAAAGTTAGTTGGTACCCCATGGGAAAGGCGGCGTTCCGGTCGAATTGTCGGTAAATGTGAGTCGGGTGCGTGAGTAACTCGGCAGTAGCAGTCCCGCTGTGACAGGGACAGGTTTGGAGGGGCTTCTGTCCTCCTTGTACTCACTGTTTACTTTATGTTTTTCAGTTGATTTATTCGCCGACTAATTAATATTAAGGGATGATACAAAGACTGTTCAATGGAGAATTAAATTCTCCATCCATCAACCCCCGTTTCATCCCTTAATCTCTGGAATAAAAAAATTAATATTGCGACGAAAGTCACGGCGCTATAAGAAACTCAATGGTTTCTCGGCGCAGTGACTCCCGACAACTCGCCCGCTAATTAAAAAATCGTCTCTTTTCTCCTAATTAATATTAAGGAATGAAACCAATGCTGTTCGATGGAGAATTAAATTCCCCATCCATCAACCCCCGCTTCATCCCTTAATCTCTCTAATGAAAAAATCATAACTGCGACGAAAGTCGTGGCGCTATGAAAAACTCAATGGTTTCTCGGCGCAGTGACTCCCGACAACTCGCCCGCTAATTAAAAAATCGTATCTCTGCTCCTAATTAACATTACGGGAATGAAACCAATACTGTTCAATGGAGAATTAAATTCCCCATCCATCAACCCCCGCTTCATCCCTTAATCTCTCTAATGAAAAAATCATAACTGCGACGAAAGTCGTGGCGCTATGAAAAACTCAATGGTTTCTCGGCGCAGTGACTCCCGACAACTCGCCCGCTAATTAAAAAATCGT